CCTAGGGGACTAATTTCTTTGGGAGGCTGGTTGGCACATTCCCAAGAATAAATGTTTGAGGACAGGTGGATTTAAGTTAGACTTGTAACAGAAAGTCATCTGTTCCCTTAGTATTTACATAACACAGAGCATGAAAGTTTCTGTCTTACTTTGTGAAAACCTACAGTTTTTACTAGAATGTCAGAGACACCCTTTCTAGAGAAATACTGAATTGATTTCTAACTTAAAGACCAAGAGGTTAAATATAATATTACCCATTTGTGCTGAGTTATTTTTATGTTTTAAAGTTCAGTACTACCATAGGAATAAAATAAATTCATTTATGAAAGTTAAAATATAAGAAAATAAAGATTCATAAGATATGTTAGTATGTTGATGCATCTTTTTCTAGGTAATCTCCTCTATCTGCATAAAATGCTAATATTATCTACTCTGCATCTTCTCCTGATTTTATCCTTCAAAAATTAAAATGAATCTTGTCTTAAGTTAGATTAGCATTTTACAAATCATACTACTCCAGATAGTTTGCATTGACTAGTGACCTCTAGCTAAATTCCCACCAGGAGTATTCAGCCGCAGATGGCTTTTCACTATGAGGATTCACAAGGAAAAAATAATGTCAGATTAATATTCAGTTAATCAGTAAAATCAAAACCAAACTCACAGACATATTATGAGTTAGAATCAACTCGATGGCAATCCATTTGGTTTTAGTATGCTCTGGATAGATAGGGAGATACAAAAGTTACACATTAGATGACCGCTCACCATAATTTAAGTGCCAATCCCTACAGCTTCTCTAGGACTGGTCTCTCCTGACAACGTGTGCTATGTATTTGAGATGCAGACTCCCTATCCTAGCCTCTAAGGAGCATTCTGGCTGTCTTTCTTCTCAGGTAGATTGGTTTGTTTTTGCAGCATTCCATGCTACTTTCAATATTTTTCTCCTGCAGCACAATTCATAGACATCAGTTATTCTTTGGTCTTTCCTACTCAATGACCAATCTTCCCATGCATACTAGGGACTTGAAATGCCATGACTTGGATCACACTCACTCCAGTCTTCCAAGTAGCACCATTGTTTGTCAATTCTCTAAAGAGGTCTTGAGCACCAGATTTCCCTCATATCTTTGGATCGTTTGACTGCTGCTTCCATGGGCATCCATTGTGCAACCTTGACAAAATCCTTACAGATTTCAACCTTTTCTCCATTTTCCTGCTGCTATACTGAGTCCAGTTGTCAGGACTCTGATCTTCATGTTGAGTTGTAATCCTCACTGTAGGCTACAATCCTTGATCTTCGCTACAAGTGCTTCAGAGCCTCCTCAGTTTCAGCAAACAAGGTCATAACATTTTTATACCGCAGATGGTTAACAAGTCCTCCTCCAATCCAGATCCCACACTGCCTTTCATACAACCCAGCTTCATTGAGGATTTACTCTGAGGCACGTTAAGGGAAGAAGTATGGTGAGAGTATAAAACCTTGACGCTCACGTTTCCTGATTTTAAATCATGCAGTATTTGCTTATTCTATTTGCATGTCTCAACTTTCTCACTTGGTTAAAGTGAGGAGTACTTTAAGCGTTAGATGGTGAAGATCAAGAATTGCAGATTATAGTATGCGTTACAACTTAATTTTAAAGAAAACCATTACAACAAACAAACAAGTCTTATAAATAGTCTTAGCCTCAGAAACCCAGAGGTGCAAATTTACTCTGTTCTGTAGGGTCCTTATGAGTTGGAATCATCTTTTTGACATCCAGTTTGGCTAATAAAGCAAATATTATCAAAGTAGAAAGAAGAAATGCGTAATTATATATTTATCATTTGAGCATTTAATATTCCTTGGTCAGTAACTGATAAAATTGTTTTAAAAAATGTATTGACGGATATTTAACACACATTTAAAATAAATACACAAGTCTAGTGGGCGATGTCATGAGCACAATTGCAATATTTTGCATATTGAGTGAAAATGACAACAAAAGTTTTCTGCACATATAGACCAGTAGCGAAGCAAGTGTTTAAAAGAAAGCTGGTACAGGTTTAATAGTTACATTGGGGGAAAAAAGGACCCAAACAAGTGGCACAACTTTGACAAAAAAGTACTAAAAAGTAAACTCAGCCATGAAAATGAAAGGTAACAAGATAAGATATAAATATAATTGAAGAAAAACAATAGAAAAAAGTGAAAACTCCACAAGCAAGCTCAATGCAATCGAGTGCAGTCCAATTCATAGAGACCCAACAGAACGAAGCAGATTTGGGTGGGTCTGAAAGTGACATAATGTTTTTGTTGTTATGATGTGTTATGGAGTCAGTTCCAAGTTCTTGCAACCCTATGTACAACAGACTGAAACAGTGTCCAGCGCTGAGCCATCTCCACAGCTGTTTTTAGGTTTGAGCTCAGTGTTGCAGCCACTGTGGCCATACACTTCGTTGAGGGCATTCCTCTTTCTTAGCCGTTCCTTCACTTTGCCCAGTATGATGCCCTTCTCTATGGACATGTCTCTCCTGACACCACCTCCAAATTATGTGAGAGTACGTCTTAGCATCCTTCCATCCTTACTTACCATTCTGGCTGGACTTCTTCCAGCGCAGATCTGTTGGTTCAATCAGCAATCTATGGTGCATTATTTCTCCTTTGATCCTGGTGTGACCTGTGATTCCACCGTGAGACTTTGGTTTCCTATGCTTTGAGGTGTTATCCACCCTGAAGGCTGCAACACTTGATCTTCATCAGCAAGTGTTTCAAGTCTTCCTCACTTTCAACAAGCAAGTTTGTGTCATCTGCACCTCAAAGGTGGTTAACAAGACGTTATTCAAACCTGATACTTTATTCTTCTTCATTTAGTCCAACTTCCCTGACTATTTGCTCAGCATAAAGGTTTAACAAGGATGATACAACCCTGACACACATCTTTCTTGATTTTCAACCATTCTTAGTACGTTTATTGAGTTCACACAAGTATCACTCTCATGGGTTCTAAAAGAGCATAATTAAGGGTCCTGGAATTTTTATTCTTGAGAAGAATAGTAATTCTCAAAGTTATTCATAGCTTGTTATGATTCCCACAATATGATGCCTTCACATAATCAATAAAACACTTTTGGGTCACTCTGCTTCTTTTTGAAATACCAATGACATAGTTCTCGGGTCACAGCAGCACACAAGCTACCACAGTACAACAAACTGACAGATAAGTGGTGGTGTATCTATTTATTGGAATAGAAGTTCTCATCTCTCTCCAGTGAAGCAGCCATAGTCTGACTCCATGTAGCTTGTCAAAGGGAAAGTGAATTAGAGAGAGTTTCTTGCAG